TCTCTGACTCTCGTTTTCTCTCTCTCTTCTCTCTCTCTCGCTTCTCTCTCTCTCTCTCGCTCTCTCTCTCTCTCTCTCTCTCCTCTCTAAAAAGATCCTCTCTCTCTCTCACTCTCTCGACTGCTTCTCGATTGCCCCCGAGGGGCTTTAGCCCTCAGGCTACAGCTCACTCTCCCCGGACCGTCTACGCAGCCCAATTTATCCTTGTCAAATCCGTGTAGGTGGATGATGTCTCCATGAGAGGCACGCTTGTATAGTACCTCTCGTGAATCATGATCCTGTGGATGTTCTCGGGACTCCCACTCACATTGGCGTTCTCGAGGATCCCGCTTATGTGGGTGGCTGATGTTACCTGAGAATCATGCTGTCACTTAATTCACACTTTCTGTTTATCTCGTTATCCATGCTTTCAGTCCCCCACACACAGAAACCTACGCGTCCACTTTCTCTCGTGCGTGCACGCCTTGTTCATGAATAGACATTTTCACTGGTCTCCTCTCAATACTCGGACCATGTTGACACTCTTCACCCGTGAACTTACAGACAGTACTGACCTCCCACTGACCCTTCTCACAATATCACACTTTACCCCAAATCAGCACGCAACACAAGCCAATCTTCGTTGATGTTCACATTTCTAGAATTTCATTATGTCTTTTTGTTTCTTCTTGGCCCATGGTATTCTGTGAACCTATCTATAGCATGGACTCCACGATGAGCTTCTTACCCAACGGGTAATTAAGAGAACATTAGACACAGATTTGAGAACGTCATGGTTTCTGGTAAACTAAAACGGGTGTATCCATGAGGAACCATACAAAAGATTAGACCCAGATCAAAACCCGATTAACCCCTCAACAGAAAAAAGACCAAGTCACAGTTCTTCGCTTATACATTGGACACTGTAGACTCGACAAACACTCATATAAATTAAGTATCAACAAAACATCTCTCTGTCAGTGTTTTTGTGTTGAGCAGACGCCAGAACGTGTCTTGCAAGACTGTCCTCTCTTTTCGGAGCTGCGAAGCTACATGTGACCAACACCCAGTCGACCTGAAAACTGAAGCTTGGGGAAACCTAAAATACCTTAAGACGACATCCAGTTTATGGGAAACAATAGATTAAGCACATGACAAGCGATCATTGAAGAAGAAGTGCAATTAAAGTTTAACTATTGTTTTCAGTCTGAGTTATGTTGTCTTCCTCAGACTGTGGGACGTCTTCAAGAAAGTCGGCTATCTCTCGTCCCACGCAGTCCTGCCTGACAACCTGGCAGACTACAACCAGACAACCATCATCGGGGAACTCAAGTCCCAGTTCCGCAAGTTCCCGCTGAGTACAACCAACGGCCGCGCCCAGCAGCTGAAGATGATCAAGCGAGATTATGAGTCCCTGCCGAAACCAACCATGGCCAAAATTCTGGAGAAATACGCCATGGACTTTCAGTTATTTGGTTATAGCACACAGCTGCCGTCGGCATGACAACTGTGGACTTTCATTTATTTGTTATTCATAGTCTTATTGAGTCATTTTGTGTCACATTGAACTCACAGTCTATTCCCCCCCCCCCCCCTCTTTTTTTTCTCGAAATAGGAGAGAATATACTACTTTATCCTCCAGTCTCGCCTGGACAGTTACTTGTATTTCATAGATAGGATCTAGTCCAGCTGCTTTGCCCTCTTCAAATTAAATGTTATCGTTTCTCTTGTTCGTCCTCGTTCATCATCATCATCATTATCAATTTGAATTGGCCATGTTAAACCGCTGCCCCGGGAGCTAACCTCTCCCAGATAACATTAGTTATAATTGTGGCTTCTGTTCATGCTCTTATTGCATTGTGCGTTTCTTAGTATTGTAGCTGCCATGTCTGTCGAGCCAGGTTTTCTGCGTGTTGTTTGTAGGGCCGTTATCTTAGTGCTGATTGGTTAGTTTAGTGCTTCTTATGTTGCCGGATTACATGATCTTTGCCATTGGTTGCTGTCCTCTGTTTCATTTACATAATGTGTCTGCTATTGTAGTCGTCCTGTTGAATTCAGTCTTGTGGTTTTTTCCATTGTGTGATGTGTCGGTCGCTTTCACTAAACAGCATATACGAGAAGGATCTCAGTTGTCTCGTTTCTCTTCATCCCAGTGCCGGCCCCAAGTCCGGACGAAAAAGAAGAAGGGTTGGCCGTTGGGTCAGTGATATCTGCGTCTGTCGCCACAACATCCCATATAAAAGGACTGAATGAAAAACTTGTAGGAAAGGACACGGTTGACTAAAAAAATTTTCCGTTCCATACACAGAAGTGTTCTGGGCCATTCGTTCACTTTGAAATAATTAATCTAAACTTACTAAAAACAATTATATTATCAATGTCAACTGGGTCCATAGAGTGATAGCTGGATGTAATGAAACATTTGTAAAAATGATGTGTTTAGAATGTAAGATACATATATGTATGTACTTGTGTGCTACCCTTTATTGGTTATTCTCTTTATTCTCCAACTTTTATTAATCATTATTTATTCGTCCGATTAGAGAGGCATGTGCGTTATGTCTGTTGACAGTAAAGCTGCGATATTTGCGCCGTGCGACCCACACATCCAATATCTTCTGTCATTAGTTCGTCTTGCTGCTCTCCCTGGTCAGTTTCGTGTAGCAGTGCCCAGTATCATCGTTGTGTTGTCATCTACGCCCCTTCCTGCAGCAGACGCGACAACCCGTGTACCCACATCAGGCACTCGGTCTGACCATCAAACCTGTAACAATTTACGCAAATAGGGCCATTTTTAGTACAGTCTCTGCTATGAACATCGTACTACCAGTACCAAACATGGACATGAATACCACAATGAAAAAGAGAAAAAACTCGAAACAACAGAAGTGAAATATCTACGAAGAATCCGAAATGTAACAAAAAAGACGGGGTCATAAATGAAAATTTTAGGACACAAACTGGAACAGAACGAGTGCTAAACTTTATTATTTTTAAACAACAGATCAGATAGTTCGGGCATATTTTATAACTACCCAGTACGAGCGAGTGCGCCAAGGAGAGCCATGTCACTCAAACACAATGCAGACTAGAGGTCGGCCACCCACGTGATGGATAGAGGGAATGTCTGGAGACAGTGAATACCAGCATGCACCTCGCATACATCAAGGCACGAAGCAGATACGTCTTCAAAAGGAAGGAAAACAATGTTTAGAGAAAAGAAGACTAAAGAAGTGTAGCAATTTAAACTTAACAACCTTACATTTAAACAACCTTACATTTATTGACAGCTCAATTAAACATGTCTGACATATTTATTAAAAAATAAACCTGTTTGTTCCGTTTTTATCTATGAGATGTAGTTTGCTGCTTATTTCACAGCACTTGATGCACACCATAGGTGCTTCCTCTCCTTTGAAAATAATAACATGGTACTGATCAAAAGTATCAGTGACTTCGCTTATAAGCACGACACATGATGATGATGATGACTCCGTGCTATTTCCTGTTAGTGCCAAAAGGGATCCTCGATTCCAGCTGGTTGGATGCGATATTGCACCTGGCAACCCAGACCTCCGATATCTTCTAGCCTTTGTTGGTCTGGTGTATCTTCCCGGTTCGTTTCCTAAAGCAATTCACTTTATCGTTGTTGGTCAGTGAATGGTGTTTCCTCCTGCAAAAGGCAATCGTTTGAAGACATTGTCGTGTCGTCTCAAAAATCCCTCGCTCAGTCTCAGTGTTTTTAATTATCTAAAACTTCAAATATGACAATAGAGGTTGTGACAGTCTTTTGCAATCGAAAGTTAGAAGAGGAATCACAGGGTCCGGTTCTCAGTATGTACTGTGACACGTTTGAAACAGGAATATTTGGTATGAGTGGATATCAAACATCAGAACTTCAGGGACACGTGAATATACTGTCCGAAATCGGTAGGCAGGCCAGTTTCTTGAGGCCCTAGAGATGTGGTTTTATAGAAGAATGCTTAAAATTCCTTAGACAGCCAAAAAGAGCAACCAATAGGTTTTGAAAGACCAATAGTATAGGTCACGCTGAAACTTTTGTAGCAGCAATAAGTCTGCAGGTACCAACCACTTATACTGAAATATTCACATAGCAATCTTTGACGACTGAAACTTTTGTAGGAGCAATAAGTCAGCAGGTACCAACCACTTATACTGAAATATTCACATAGCAATCTTTCATGACTGAAACTTTTAAGGAGCAGTAAGTCTGCAGGTGCCAACCACTGATACTGGAATAAACACATAGCAATCTTTGACGACTGAAACTTTTGTAGGAGCAATAAGTCTGTAGATACCAACCACTCATACTTGAAACATTCAGACTGAAAATCGTATAGTTTGTGTGTAACCCTATACAACAACAACCTAGAGTTACAGACACTGTAAGACAATAGCAGGGTTGTATACAGCACTGCAGAACTACTTGTGGGTATCATATACAGCCAGGAGGGATGCGTACCTGGTAATGTCTGCAGACCTTTCCATTGCTAAAGAAAAACGCATTATTTTACTGTTTATTTTTACTGTTCACTATTGATCACATATACGCCACTCGGGTTATGCTCCATGAACATTGCGAAAGGAACGCTCACCGCACGCTTACACCACTCATGCAGAAACGGTAACGAGTGAAAGCTACCAGTTATAGTACACCCATGCTAGGTGCGCAAGTATACTCTCAACAGCCAAGCAACGAGGAAGAAAATATCACCTAATACTCTCGCTTGTGCAATCGTTACCTGCTAACGTTTACAGTGTGAACTGATCACGTCTCGCCACTTATACAACTCTGCAAGCAAACACCTAAGAAGTAAAACAATTGGACTGATCTTTGTCAGACTGTGCTTTTAGCCCGTCTGTCTCGAACTTCCTGAACTAATCAGGCAATTGCAATTTGAATTTCACAGCAAACTGGTGGCCCTATAATTGTTCCGTTTCTCTACCAAAGCAACCTCACAGAATGCCAATCCCTGTCCATTGTGAAAGGATTGACAGCATTCCGGTCACAATGGGGATCGGCAGATTTATTATTTAGTCATGGTAGGCTGACGCATTTTCTTTTATATGAGGACTGAAAGGATATAGTTCCGTCCCCCGGCTACATGGGTGAGTGCATGGCGCGACACTCTGAGCTTCGGATTTCTTTTGGGTGGCTTTTAGACTGTGCCCGACCTGGTTTGCTTTTAAACAGTAGATTCGGGAACTGGTGAGTTGCCTGTTGTCACAGAACTGGGGGTGCCGTATATGAATAATTGCTTGTGCAACTACTGATATGTTGTAACTGGGGGTGCCGTATATGAATAATTGCTTGTGCAACTACTGATCTGTTGTAACTGGGGGTGCCGTATATGAATAATTGCTTGTGCAACTACTGATCTGTTGTAACTGGGGGTGCCGTATATGAATAATTGCTTGTGCAACTACTGATCTGTTGTAACTGTCGCTTCCATCAACGATGAAGTGCATTTCTAGAGTCTTAACTGTGTTGGCACCACTGATGGATTTCTTATTTATTAATTCTGTGCGTGTGTGTTATTATTTACCTAGAAAGAAATGTAAAGTTGTGAGGAGGGCGTGGCTAGCGGATGACCCCCCAAGGAGGGGGGGCTGAGTGATGAGAGAGTGGCTGAAGTGGAGGGGGGCTAAGTGATGAGAGAGTGGCTGAAGCGGAGAGAGGCTGAGTTATGAGGGGGATTGAACTGCCCTCACAGTTTCAACCCCTACACCCCAGTTATGGCCCCTGATACTCCACAGGGTGGTATTTATTCACCCAGCTGACACGTGCGGTCAGTCTGCTGAGTAACAACCGACCTGGCCGCATCGTGATACCAGCTAAGTTATTATTTTTTATCTATGTAGTATTGTTTATTTTGTGTGTGCTGATGAAGGCTCAATAGCCGCAACGTTCACGTTTTGTTTGTATTTGTTATAATGTGAAGCTTTCTAATATGCTAATATACTTTTCGTTTGTTGTTTATATCTTGAGTTATAAGGGTGTGACTAAAGCAGGGGGGGGGGGGGCTGAGATATGAGGGTGTGACTGAAGCAGGGGGGCTGAGTTATGAGGGTGTGACTGAAGCAGGGGGGCTGAGTGATGAGAGAGGGGCTAAAACGGGAGGAAGCTGCGTGATGAGGGAGTGGCTGATGGGGGGGGGGGGGAGGCTGAGTGATGAAGGAGCGGTTGGGGAGAGCTAAGAGATCTTGGTAATTTTGGTAATCTTAGTTTCAGCTTCATAGCAAACGGGTCACCCCATAGTTGCTCCGCTTTGGTGCCAACGAAAACACACAGAATGTTTATCACAGTCCCTTATGGAGAGATTTACAGACTGCTGTCTCAGCATATTTAGCATACACACGCATTAAAAGCATACGATAGCCATCCGAAATGCTAACACAGACAGTCCGACATTAGAAATGCAGTTCATCATCGATGGTAGTAGAAGTCAACAACAGATCAGCAGTTGCACACTCGATCAATTT